CCCCAAAACCCCAAAACCCCAAAACCCCACAGATAAATTATAATGTCGCATTAGATTGATTAGAAATTCACTTTATATATCATTTTAATGAATATTTAACATATTTATTTGATTCTCGAATTATAGCAAGAATTTAATGGGAAATACGACCTCACAAGACTATCTTTGCTCAACATCAATGTGCTCTGCTAATTATTATTCAAAAAAGAGAATGAACTAAAAGAAAACAGTTTAAAGTAAGGAAAAATGATTTGAAAGATAATAAATTAATAGAAAGAGGTAACTCAGTAGGAATAGTTTCATTTCCTGGATAGTCACCTGAGAATCTAGATTTTAAAATTTAGAATATGAGGTCTATTGAGGATCATTCTAGGGAAAGATACTATGATAAGATAGGCATTCAAAATATTTTTAAGAATGAGCTCAGAGAGATACCTGATTTTGAAAATTAAAATAGAGTGACAAAAAAAATAAAGAACAGCAATTAAAGAGAGAGAAGGGGAGCGACTAATAAATTAATGATATCGTCATAATTAAACATTCCTAAAGATAAATCTCGCTAATAGAGAGGGTAACTATATAGATCAGCACATGAAGGAATAAATAAAAAGAATGGATCCTTGTTAAAAAGTGTAGTGGATGAAGAATATTACTACAAAAATGATGTTTCATAGTCAAACTTGAGAAAAACAACTTGCCATGATGAACCTGAAATAATAGTAGAGTAAGATCACTCATTCTTCTCTGAAGAAGAAAATGAAGATGAAGAAGAAATATTGAAGTAAAAAGGCAAGATAACTGTTGAAGATCTTGACTAAGAGGTCGATAATGAAGTATGCTATACAGAGACATTTGAAATACATGATACTGATAATGTCTATAAAACATAAGATAGGATCCGTGCAGAATTTCTATCTCGACTAGTTTATGACAAGCTATGGACAACACCTGAGCATAAGCATCACGATCATTAAACCTGCATAATCTTTGATTGGGATGATACTCTCTTGTGCTCTACATTCTTATCTCAACATAATAAAAACCTTAATGATGCTTCTATTATCACGTACCCTTAACAACATAGATCTTCAATAGCATATCTTGATGAATAGGCTAGCAAATTACTGTCTAAAGCTATTGAAATGGGTCATGTTTTTATTGTAACAAATGCCTTAACAGGATGGGTCGAGGAGAGTGCTAAAGTTTTTCTCCCCCTTACTTATCAACTTATAGTCAGCAATAACTTGAAAATAATTAGTGCCCGCTCAAATTATGAGCATTAATATCCAGGGCATAATGTTTTATGGAAAATATTGTCCTTTTAAGACATATATAAAGAATATATGGAGAAAGACACACTTACAAACCTAATATCTATTGGAGATTCAGATGTTGAGGTTGCAGCAGCCTATGACTTAGCCTCTAGTCTTCAGTAATATTTCCTTAAAATAGTAAAATTAAGAGATGAGCCATCAACACCAGATGATCTATCTAAAGAACTAAAGACTGTAATTGCTTAATTTGAGCAAATTGTATCAGCTCCAAAGCACATTATAGCTAATATGAAAACTATGCAAAGGGCTTATAGACTTGAAAAAGAGGAAATTAATGATAAGGAAATGAAAAGAAAAGTTGAAATAATGAAAATGAAGGCTGATAGAATAATTAGTAAGTTGTGAAATTCCAAACATATTAATAAAGTTTTTGGTAATATATTCTATTTATCAAACTATAAAGACAAGCATTTATAAATTGATTTTATAACTTACATTAATTAACAGAGAAAATTATTCAGTTGGGGTTTTGGGGTTTTGGGGTTTTGGGGTTTTGGGG